CCAAAATTTGATGCATCCCATTACAAAGCATAAAATATTGTAAGGCAAAATTTATCAGTAATAAGAGCTTTCTATAACAGCAAGGTAAATTATAATATACAATATAAAATGCTAAATTTTACTTTTAATCTAGTCCTTATAAAATACAATTAATAGGAACATAACTACAGTATACAAAAAAAAAAAAAAAAAATGAAGATATAAAAAGAGAACAATTCCTAGGTCAGTTATTTTTGTTAACATGGAAAAAAGTTTAAATTTCAGTATTCAACATTACTTTAATGCAACTCATTATTTAATTTAGATTAAAATTTTCATTATACACTTTGATCTGAATAATCTCTAATTTCTACAATTACAATTGTTGAACTTGTAAATAAAAGCAAAGCATGTATAATGGATATACACTAAAGAAACCTGTACCACTACCCACAACTAATGATGTACTTTAAATGAAATGAAAATTTATAGAGGAAATAACTAAAAGAATCCAATAACGAGCATTGTAGATTAGGTGGCAAGAAACAGTCTATTGAAAATTACTTATAACTTTTGTTAATATCACATTTGCATGAAACAAAATATATTGTGAATACTAAAATGGTAGAATTTCATTGTTAATTTCTGTTTTTATTTCAAAGTGACAAGTGTAGCCCAGAATACATGAACATGCTCAGCTAGCATCCCATTACAAAGTGTGACAGTCTATAGTACAAAAGTGCAGAGATAGTGTCACAGTGTTCATAGACCTCATGCTTCAGTAGATGTCAAAACTATCAGAAATTATCACTCCAAGTTGATGAGTACAGGATCTGTGGCAGATACCCACAGAAGAGGACTTTCTTCAACAAGATTGGAAGAAAATGTGCAAAAAGTAGAATTTTAACACTGTACAGTACTTCTACCATTATACTGTTCAAAATAAAAATGTTTTATGAAAATCGACTAATAATTAATAAAATTTTTTTTAATTTTAAATAGGGAGTTTCCTTCCACCTACTCTGTAGATATAAAAGATAAAGGAGGAATGGAATAAAAATACAATTGCAAAAATTATGTAAGTCAAAATAAAAAGCTGGTTCAAGTAAATTAGAATGTTTGCAGATAACTTCTGTTCCACTGCTTGGAAACAGATCAAAGTTATGATAAACAAATATTGGCAATATTTAACCTTAGTGCCCACAAAAATTAGTGTGTCAAAAGGGTGGTTATTCCCTTGACACCACTATTAATGTATACACTTTTGACCCCCACAGCAATGTTTATTTACAAGATTATAAAAATATTTGAGCCAAATAGGATGTGGTATTTATTTACCATTTTATAAAGAAATAAATTTGAAAAGTAATCTTTTTATTAAAAAATTAACAAATATGTAAACTAACTAGAATGCAATATTGATTATTAACTATTTCATAAATAACTATGAAAACAAGTTTTTATTCACTCTAATAAATAGCGTTTCATATCTTTATCAGTTCTCAAGAATAAAGAAAATGTATAAATGCACTTTCACGTCTTTGGTTTTTATTAAGATCCTAATCATCGCTTTTTAAAACAAATATTACTGAGGGAGTCAAAAATGTATACAGTAATAGTGGTGTCAAGGGAATAACCGTTCATTTGACACTGTTTTTTTTAAAGGTACAATGAAGGTTAAATATCAATGTCTATATCAATTCTGCTGTCATGTTAAATATGTGCATTTCAGTTGGATCATAAGCTTACATTTTTGATCTTTCTTTTCTAAGTATGAATTATTTACATTATAATAAGCATTCATGAAAATGAAAGTTTACATCTAAAAATTGAAATGTTAGATTACTTGCAAGTCACTGACAGTAAGTTTGTTTTTAACTGGGTACTCTACAAATGTGGCAAAGTTGGTTTGGTTTAAAAACATTGAAGAAATATGGAGGGATTACAGATATTTACAAATACAAAAATCAGCTGACAAGAGGAAAATACTTGCCAGAGACTATATACTCGCTCATAAGCTAAAACTTAAATCAAGTCCACCTGAAAATAATTGATAGTTCTTGATAGATGATATGACATCCACTTCTGATGGAAGGTATTGTCTTACAAGTGCTGAAAGTGTCTTTTCATGCATGTGTATCTAAAATGTTTCAAAATAATGCTGACAACTGTTTCCTAGTCATGTGTGGCAAACCAACAGTTATAAGAATAGATACTAGTTAACACCGATAGACAACAAGAGGATATCTATCTATATATATATATAATTGGGAAGAGAAATACCAGAAAGCAGTGTTACATAGCATTTGTATACATTGATAAAAAAATGATCTGGGAAGGTGGGGGTGAACCTTCCTCACTCTATATATATTTTATGTCCCAGTTTTATTGATTTGAGTATTAAATTAAGGAAGATACACAGACTGAACAAGATATATTTTCAATTTATATTATATCTTTCTACACATTTGCATTATTTCAGCAGGATTTGATTGATTTATTTTTTATGCCAGTTTATTTAAAGCTAGAAAATATTTTTAGATTATAAAAATTTTTTTTGAGATAATAATAGTTTAGTGATACAAGTCTTACTAATAAACCCAAAGCTTGTGGGAGAATAGGTAGATTTATACCATTCCCAAATATATTTGCATATAAGTGAATATAACAAATCCAACTGGAATTGGAACTCTGCTTTCTGATTAACAATTCCAAGCCACTATCCATTACAGCACATAGTAATTCTCAAGCGTTCACCCATATAGGTGACCAGGCTCAATATTGCTTAACTTCAGTGATCATAACCGGTGTTTCAACATGATGTAACTATAAACTATTTCAGTCAGAGTATAACAAAGGGTTATTTGTGGTTCATGCTTTTCATTTTTTTTTTTTTTTTTTTTCCCTCAGCTGTACCTCTAGAAGTTCCACCCTGGAGACTCTTTCTGCAACAAATGCAACACAGTTTTCACAAAAGATATTCCCATTACCTCCAGATGGTTGACACACACACAGCAACAATTCAGCTCTCTGCTTTACAAAAAGTAACAACGTTTAACATCTGTTGATATGACTGCGTAGATATTATTTTTTTGTTTTATACTTGCAATTCAACCTCTGCTGTTCAACTAGGCATAAATATCTATGTCTATGCATGCTATGTGGACATAAAAAGCTATAAAAGATACAAGCTCCTTTATTTGAGATTTGTTATAAATAAAAAAAAATGAACATCCTACAGTTTAAATATATGGAGAGAAAATTACAAGGACATTTTTCAATTGGGTCGTGATCTGTGAATTTCCACCCCTTTTTTAATGCACTGGTCATTAATCTCTTGTCCAGCACTTCTTGACTAACATCAAGTCATACCATTAAGTGGGATTATTACTTAGGTAATTAAAAACCCCAAAAAACTTTGATTTGTAAACTTACCAACAATTGTTTAGCATGTGAAATGTTTACTTTGAGGAAGAAAATCCTTGTTTCTCTACAAACCCATAATTTATGACTGTATACTGATCTAGGCTTGTCTGGCAGGTTTCAGTTCAGATATATTTGTTGTTAAATATAAAATGTTCAATAGCTTCCTAAAGAAATATAAATGCTTCATCTGATAAAAACTTTACAGAAACATAATCTGCATGTGTCATGTATCACTAATCCTATGTTTAAGCAGCTTTTTTTACATTGCAGAAACAACAGCATCATGACATTGGACAATGCTGGAATGTCCTATATAATCAACAACCAATCATCCACAGTTGAATGAACAAATATTGAGATGCATTCATAAATTATGAATTTTAAAAATACATATTGCTTATAAATATACAATATAATATTAATAAAATCCAAAGGTAACATCCTACAAAAGATCTGGACTTAAAGATTCATTAACATAAGAGAAATCCTTTAATTTTGTGGAAAGTGAGCTTAGCAAACTGATAAAATCTTCATGGCTGTATTTAATCATTTTTAGCTCAAAAATCCCATAAATCAAATTGTCAGGTGAAAGCAAGCATCCATTTTCTAATTGGTAAACATCTGTTAAAAATCTAGCATTTTTGAAAAAATTTGTTTTGCTTCATATTTAGTTTTGTTTTAAACTTAATATTATTTGGAACTGGAGCCATAGAATGGGTTTTTCATTCTAAAATAAAAGTCAGTTTAATATTTAGCTTTTTATGTGATATTTACTTTGAATCACTTTATTCTTGTAACATGCTATCTATAAAATGTGTTTAATAATCTTCATATCCTTTTGTAAGTTTTGAATATGTTCCTTCCATATACACAAAATGTAACAACAATGGGAAGACACTAACAAGTATTTTCTGTTATATAGTTTAAAGATTAAAACTATCCTAGTGTCTATTCAATGAACCTATGTGTGTGCGTGCTGTGTGTGTGTGGACAAGAATCAACGCTGCATTAAAAGAGTAGTGGCACTTGGTTTGAAGATTATACTGAAGTGCAAAACTGTCACCAAGTGATGTTGATTCACACCGTGTTTGGATATATATTCGTGTGTATGTATATATATATATATATATAATAATTGATAAAAATCACCTGAGGATACCATTAGGATGAAACCAAGGGAGCAAAATCAACTGATCTCCTAATTTTAAAAGTTTTTAAAATTTATATGTGTGTGTGTGTGTGTGTGTATGTACACACATGCCTCTTGGTTATTACATGTTTATTTTTTTTTTTAGTATAGCAGAGAGGATTAATCAGTTAAGCTATAACTGATATGACAGTTTTTACAAGGAAATGAATAAAGGGATTGCAGTAGATATGGTATTATGAAAGACTTACCCAATCTAGTTTAGGATCACAACTAGTTACAGAATTAATATATTTTCTGTAAGAGACACAAGGATTCATGTATTCCTCTAGTTTTGAAGTTTACAGAAAAGAAGCAAATATTTATTTATTACTATGCAAGAGTTTTTTCCCCTGCTACAGAACTACGATTTATTTATTGTATAAAAAAAACGTGACAGCTAATTTCATCAACAGATGTCAGCTTGTAACAAATCAATAACAGCTAATACAGATTTGTCATTTTGGAAATCAGTTTGAGGCTCATCTAGCTTTTCTTGCAAGAGTTCATTGAGAAGGTTCCGGAACTCTTTAAAGATGACAGCAGTCCGAGCTCTGGACTTGAAAATAATCCATTTGTCTACAGTGACTGTTTGCTGAATGTGTTGGACAACAATGTTGCGGCCAAATAGCAATAATGGAAATGGAGAAACAAGGGTGCAATCTCGCAGGTAAACTTTAGATTGCTTTGTTTTCTCTTGGTATATCATATAACCCTGTGCTTGAAGGGTCCGGTTCACAGAACTGGGATGAACATAGGCATGGCCCTGTGGCATCTCTGCACCACAGATCCGGTTGGTGCCATCTGGATCTTTTTCGGAGCAGACTTTGGCCACATTTGGATACAATCCAGCAAGAATAACAGCCTTTATGAGAGCACAGATCTTGGGATTCAGATGAACCCCTGGGCTGACATCAGTAGACGAATTCCAGGATGAGGTTCCAATAAGTTGTTTTTCATCTTTAGTGCTGAGAAATCCAATAGATTTTACAAGTTTGATAAGATCTGTTTTCACATTTTCAATTTCCAAAAGTGTTTTCCTTTTCAGATAGTTTTGCATGCAGAAAGTATTTTCTGCCTCTCGCCCAGCCTTACGTGCAGCCTTCCAACGAGAATATGCATTGTAGATTGTTAAATGGTCAGAGTTGGCAATAGACAGATTCTGTTTTGCCATATTAGCTTCTGACCGTTTCTCAAGAGGTACAACAAATGGAGACTTGCCACTAACAGCTGCTGCAATAACAGCAGCCGGTTCCAAGCAACCAAACAAAGCACCAAAGATCAGCATTTTACCAATGGACACATGAACAGGTAGTGCAGCCAGATGGTGCCCAAGAGGTGTTAAGACGTTATCTTCACAAGCACCAATGTCTTCCAGGATGTTCATGGCACGAGAGATAGCTGGTAACTGTGGAGGGTTTAAAGCTTGCTGAAGAAATTCTTCAGTTTTTCCAAGTTCACATTTCATGATGTGTAAACAAAGTTCTTCAAGAGCAACACGAAGGATTTCAGGAACAGTGAACTCTCGGAACTTAGAATAAGCTTCTTTGGTATAAAGTCTATAACAGAACCCATTACGAACACGGCCTGCACGACCGGAACGTTGTTTCGCACTGGCCTTGCTTACAAAGACTTCTTCTAGTGCGTTCATCCGACTTGATTCAATGTATCGATTCTCTTTCACTTTGCCACTGTCAATTACATACACAACATCTGGAATAGTTACTCCCGTTTCAGCAATATTGGTTGCAAGAACAATCTTACGAACTCCAGGGGGTGGAATTTTGAAAGCAGTGCTCTGGTCCTCTGAAGATAAAACTGAATGTAAAGCAAGGATTTGATATTTGCCAGATTTAGAAAATTTGCGGTCACTCTGTAAAAGTTCATAAAGTTCTTGAATATCTGCTAATCCAGGTAAGAATATGAGGATTGCACCTTCAACCTCTGTACTGCTTGAAGCAAGAGAATTCAAAAGGTGGAGAATTAGATCCATATTGACTTTGTGGGGTTTCATACGTGTCACTGTCAGTCTAGTATGCTTAGAGTAACTCTCTTTGTCAAGTCCACTCATATCAACAATGTCCTCTTTGGACCAAGAGAGGTTTGTTTTTTGTTTTGTGCCCCCAGCACCAGTAATTGCAACAGTAGTTCTTTGTTCCTCACACAGCTGGGAAGCTGGGATACAATATGGGGAATCTTCTTCTAGGGCATAATTAGTCGTCTCTATGAGGTCCTCCAAATAGGAAATCTCGACAGGAAATAGCCTTCCTGGAATCTTGATAATTGGGCTATGGTGGAAATAATCAGATATGCGATCGCAATCGATGGTGGCACTCATTAGAATCACCTTAAGGTCATTTCGAGTGTCAAGCAACTGCTTGAGGATAATCAAAAGAAAATCTGACTGCACAGTTCGCTCATGGACTTCATCAACAATGATGTGTGTTACATTTTTTAATTCAGGGTCAGAGTGCAACTGTCGGAGTACAACTCCAGTGGTACAATATGTGAGACAAGTGGTGTGTGTGATGCATGATTCAAAACGAATCCTATAACCACACAGAGAATTTATAGAACCTGGGGGTTTATCGCCAAGTTCCTGTGATACTCGGTTTGCAAGGCTCACAGCAGAAATACGGCGTGGTTGTGTACAGATAATATTACATTCCTCTCCAGACATCAAACGATCCTCAAGAAGAAATTGTGGAATTTGAGTGCTTTTTCCACTGCCTGTTTCTCCAGCAATTACAACCACTTTGCTTCGATCAATCTGAGCTAAAATATCATCCTTGTATTTGTAAACAGGGAGTGTTTCTCTTTGAGTGAGTAACTTCTTGTATTGTGACGTCTTTAACTTTTCAAGAAGGAGTGACTTCAATTCTTCTGGCTTTGATATTACCACTGTCTTCTTCTTCTTCTTCTTTAAGGTTTCTGAAGGTTTAGATGAATCATCAAGATCGGCAGTGAACCAATCATCACATACATCATCATCATTGTTATCAGCATTTGAGTGATTATTTGAGTGAGACTTTGGTTGTGTAGGTGCCAATTTTAATTCTTTTAGCAGTTTTGTAACAAGTTGATCACGAGGTTTGTTGTTAATTTCCTGTGCTTCCTTCTTGATCTGCCTTTCAGATTCCATCCATTCTAACCACAAGTCCCGGTAGGGTGGTGGCAATAACTGGTATATTGGCTGACCTCTACACAGATGATACAAAAGTAAAGTTGAACCAACATGCTCAGCTTCTCGGACTGAGAAGCACAGAACATCTGGAGTTACTGTTAACAGTGTGCCGTCTTTCTTGACAACAGAGGATTTACATTTGAAATTCCCACTTATATGGATTCTTTCAAAGTGAGGGAGGTCACTTTTGGGTAGATTTTTGCGTATCCAGTCATTTAGAAACTGTTTTGGTGATTTTCCTGTCCACTGTTGCCGTGTGTATTCAAAGCTCCGTGCAGAAAGAACTGGACCTTTTTTCTTTTTAGCTGGCTTTGATGAAGTTTCTACAGAGTTAATCATAATATCAAGTCCAAGTTCCTCATTGTTTGATTCTGGTTTAGGTTTAAGGTTAGTATTTGCAGCTGCAACTGTAGGTTCCGCTGTACATTTCATACTTGCGGGCGATTTTGTTTCTGGTTTTTGCTTACTGCTTCCTGCTGCAGCAGATGCAAATGTTGGCGCTTCTGGCATATAACTTTGTTGTGGTTGTGGTGTGGCCTTTGGTTGTTTTACTGGTTTTGAAGCAGGCTGCTTGACTGGCACCATCAAAGATATTCCTGCAAGTTTACGATCAAAATTTGGATGATTTGCAAGCCTATCCATGTCAGCCATCATTTGTCGGATTTTTTTTGAGAATTCACGATGGTTTTCCTTGTTGCCACATTTTTTGGCCTGTGCAGCTGCCTCAATAACTGAATCTAAATTTTCACTGATCATTTTGTACTGCAAATTGGGATCAATGTCTTCCTCCTTGCTTTCAGAATCGCTGTCAGAATCCACTTCTGCGTATCTCAATATCCAACTTTTCATTTCATCATTATCTTCGTTACTTTTTGTTTTCGCAGATATATCTACGTTCTCTTCGTGTTTTTTTCTATCAGCCGGCTTCTCCATAACCTGGAAACCGGTTATGATTTGAGATTTATCAACTTGTTCTGCCTGAAAACCAGGTCGACGTTTCGTTTCTTCTCTTTTCAAAGCTTCCGAGAAATCTGAAGGTAGATCTTCATTTGCAATATTGAGACACAGCCAGTCTAGAGCATCTACAAGGTCCCCGCCGTAAATTAGCGTATTCCTCATGGACGATTCGATCTGATTGTGTTTAAATCCAGCTCGGGCTAAACTCATGTACATGTCCGTCAATCGCTTGTTAGTCATTCTTTGACTAACATCCTTCATACGGTTTTTGTTCTTTTTCCAATCGAGAATCAAAGACACCATACTTTTTTCCATATTAGTCTTAAGCACGATCTTTGTGGTCGTATCATCTGAATTTGGATTGTCTCCGATATCGGATTTTGTAAATTTATAACTTTTCGTTATTTTTTCTTGTTCTTTTTGTTTCTTTTTCCCCATGATGACTGCTGTTGTCTGTGCACGTTAACGATCGTATAAGAAATAAGCGACTATTAATAAGTCTTTGTTATTTATGTTTAAGGAATCCTTTGCGTTTTATAAATTTCAATCGACAGAAATCAACAAACTAAAACAACATTAAATCATTACATACCTCCGGTAGAACAACGCGACAAAAGAGCATGTAAACTTCGTCTACGCCATTCATTCAAAAAAAAAAACCAAACAGTCAATTCTATTTATCTCCCTTTAAATATTTCGTATCTGAAAATAGAATTTAAATTATTTTCATTTATTTGTTTAAAAATATTCCAGAATTTATCAAATCAGATAGATTCAAAATATAAATACTTACAATTTATTACATGTACAGAAGGCTGGAACAATCATTTAATCAACTATATTATTACAAGTTTTAATCTTGCTCGTTTTGTATTTTCTAGTTTGTATTCCGCTTCCTTGGTATTTCTATTTTTTTGAAACCCGAATTGAAATCTCGTGTGTGACTGAGATTTTACGGGAAACAACGAGAAGTCAGTCTTTCCGGTTGTATATGCTGCTGTTAAGAGGTGAGAAATTTTTGTCTCTGTTTTATCTTTGCTCATCTTTAATAATATTCTTTTTAAAATTATATTTTTATCCATCCTTAGATTGCATAAATGTAATACGTTTCTGTAGATGTATATATTTTAAAGATCTTGTTGTGACTTTTTAAGTTTATTATAACTTTGTTTTCGCATGTTTTTTTTTTTTTGTAGTCGGTAATTTTGTTGACGGGCATGCGTTTTAAATTTTCCGTAAATTTGTCTTAATTAAAAAGAAATGTATTTATGACCATGAATTCATTTTAACTTTTTAAAATATGATCATGATAACTATAAAATGTTTGGTTTTACTTTTACAATTTTGTCACGTGGAATTCAAACGATATCAGTCAACGTGTTTCAAAATTCATGGTTTTTTAAACTTTTAATTAAATTTGAATTTCCTATCCACTATCAAGTTTTATAAATGGTATAGATAGTTGATAAATATTTTATATTTTATGAAAAAATTTATTTGCCCTAATTAATATCTTCGGATATTAAAATTTCGTCGAATTTCATTCGCGTAAAAAAAATGACCACATGGGAAAGAAATTATAGCTGGTACCTAGGGGAACTGAAAAGTATTACTGCTAACAATGACATATACTGAAAATTTTATTTGGAATTTCAAGAACATTTACACAAGTCGAAAAAAAATCTTGCATCATTTTCTATTTCAAAACCTTGTCTATCAGATAAATCAAAGTACTGCTTTGTCCTAACGAATTTATACGGATCTTTTGCGGGTGTATCCGTCACATATTTTAGAAATAAGTGTGTTCGATTATGTTAAAGTTCCTAAAAAATGAAGAAAGACCAATTTCTTGTATTGTCGAAGTAACGATGGCACTCTTTTAGCTCCTCTTATATTTTATTTTTCCAGCCTTTTAGTTTTATTGATTATATTCAAACAATTCAACATTTCATAACATACTTTGAGTCGAAGAGTTTATCGGCCTAGAATGTGATAAAAAGGAACTAATGAATGGAAACATGAATGCATCTGGTCAATTTGTACAATACACGTTTTCTAAGAAATAATTTTTGTATCTTTTTTAATCATTTCACCCTAAGCAAGACGCAAGAGGTTACTGACTGAAAATGAAAACATTAAGACAGAGGAACAATAAATAAGAAAACAGGAATTAAGACGACAGAAGATAATTGACATTGCATTTAAATTTTCGAAAATCAAGGCTTACTGGAAAGCAAGAAACTGGAAGGTAGTTCAACAAGTGATGGTAGAAACTGTTTTAGCATGTAACTTTGGCTACACAGCAATTTCAACTGTAAAAATGAGACCTACCTACCAATCTAGTACTGCGCTTAACTTAGAGGTACCAAAAAGGAAAGCTAAGGAAGCTCATCAGAATGATTACCATGGAAATATAAAAAAAGGCATAGGGAAACTTGTGGGAAAGTAACTGAAGCCAATATGTCAGAACTGATAAACTTGCAGATACTTTTTTTTATTTTAAAATCGAAAATACATGAGTTTTGGAGAAAACAATTTTTTTTTCTTGGAATATGCTGATTTAAATCAAAATTATTGAAATTAATAATTGCTTATGAACATTTGAAAACTTTTATTAATATTAAACAACCTATCTTTTTTTTCCTTTAGCCAGCCATGGGCAAGTTTATGAAATCTACTAAGGTGGTGCTTGTATTGAGTGGACGTTATGCTGGCAGAAAAGCTGTCATTGTAAAGGTAATTGTTCTATCAGTATTGCAACTAGAAACCTTTTTTTATTCATCTTAGTTGGAATTATATTTAATTCTGATCTTGTAATTGATATTCACCATTGTTTTAAACAGTATGCCTGATGGTTACATTGTTGATTTAAATTATATTTCATAAAATCCACTGTGTGTGTAAAAATAGTTCTTGAATTTGAATAATGTACTCATTTTGGTTTGAAAAAAAAATGTGAAAAGTTAGTTTAAAATTTTTCCCCTCTGCTCATCTTATTGAATGGCATTAACAGTACTATATTCTTTCTCTCTCATGTATGTATATGTTCTATATTGATGATAATTTTTTTTTATTATAGAACTATGATGATGCCACCCAAGACAGAGGATATTCACATGCTTTGGTTGCTGGTATTGACCGCTATCCCCGCAAGGTAACTAAACGCATGGGAAAGAGAAAAATGAAAGAAAGATCCAAAATGAAGACTTTCATCAAAGTCATCAATTACAACCATCTTATGCCCACAAGGTAAATATTTCTTAAATGATTTACATGTGCATTTCTATACTTAACTGCATAAATTTCCAGATGATGTTAAAATCATTCTTTTGTGAGTAAAATAGGATAGGATATGCTCCACCCACCTACAGTTTGTAGCATTTTTATGTCTGTAAGGGTCAAAGCTCTTAGTATGATTGAGCACTGTGTGATAAACTTGTTTTATATTTTGCAGTAGATCTGATACCAAACAAGAATTGTGATTGTATGTGATAGGTACCTTCACTTTTCACAGAAAATCAGCATAGCATAATGAAAAAGGGCCTTAACTTAATAAAAACAAAGTTTTATCATTAAAATGTTATTAATAAGAGGAAAAACCAAAGTATTTCTTTTTTTTTTTTTTTTTTTTTTTTTAATCCTTTCTAGTATGTTCCAAATATTGCTTAAAAAAAATCTTGTTTTGTTTACATCAGAGATTGACCTGATAATTATTTAGTGTTTTGCACTCGAAACCCCCCTCCCCCCCGGTGAAAAACAAATTAATTTGGGAAATTTTGCAAAAATCAGGTAATTGCCAGATTCTAATGGAACTTTCAGGATATTCACAAATGAATGGATTTTTGTTTTTAAGAAAATCTTAGTAAAAAAAAAAAATTTCTTGCATGTCACCCACTGAATTTCAAGAAATTCAATTTTAAAGCCAAAATTTGTTTTACGGGTTAAAAGCAGGGCTCCTTAGGAGAATGTGAATTTTTTCTTTTTTCGTAAAACATAACTCAAACTGAAAATATGCCCCGAATTGTAAAATAAAAAATGCAATAAAACTCTCTAATTATTAGAAAAGCTTTTAATTGCTTCTATAAATAAGATTTCAGAACACTATTGTCTTAAAATTATTCCCAATGAGTCTTTCACAAGAATTTTTTGTTTTTTTAATTTTAATTTATAATATAAAAATCATAATTCTGTATTACTTCAAAAATTGAAAGTTGTTTGTACCCAATACTGTTTTTAAAACAAATTTTTTTTTTTTAAGCCTATAAATATTCCCATTTTGTAACTATGGCGATCCATACATGACATTATCTTTAATAGGTTATGTGATTTAAGGGCTGCCTGGCACTCTGCAATTCTTTCACTTTCATTATTCACTTCTGTTTCATTAAGACTTTGCAAATCATCCCTTCAAAAATTTCAAGTTAATTTTTACTTTTTTAAATATTGTTTAGGGTATTGGGTTATAAGAATTCAATAATAAAATAACCATTATGATAAAAGTTATAATAAAGAATAAAATGAAGGAAAATATTAAAAAATATGAATTAAGAATAAATAAAATACCATAACATTTCAAAAATTGAGTTACCTCTATAATGGTTATTAAATTTTAAAAATAATCTAATAAAAAAGAATCTTCAAACATAATTAAAAGTCAATAAAATATTAGATGATTACTGAAAATATATTAATTTGTAAAAATTACTAGGTAGTTATAAACCAAAAATTGCATTCACTTACATTTCATAAATTGATATCAATTCTGGTCATCCATACCAGCTGTCAACACCTCGTAGCTCATTGATAACATCAATAAAGACATGAGAAAAATGGGACCTGTCTTTAAGAAATGCTTGTTTTTTTTTTTTTTATGCTATAAGTACTATTTGTTTTAAATTTGCTAATTTTACTTGGCGTGTCACAAAAATATATTTTATAAGTATTGAAAATTTATACTGAATTAGTGGAGGTACCTATATGTGAAGTTAGGGCATTCAGGATGTATCTTTGGGAGCCTAGCTGAAAAGGCTTCAGAAACAAGACACAAATCTTCTAATCCTCTAATATAGGTACCTTCATGAGATTGCTAAAAAAAAAAAAAAGAGTAAAGCATGATGAAAAAGATACCAAACTTGATGAAAACAAAATTTTATCATCTAAATTTTTATTATTAAGAGGAAAGACCTTTTTTTTTTTTTTTTTTTTTTTTAAATATTTAAAAAGAAAATTTTTCCTTTTTAGTACATTTAAATTTTGATTGAAAAAAAAACCAAAAAAAAAAACCTTGTTTCTCTTTGTATCACTGGAACTAGTAAAATAACATACAATTTTTAGCACTTTTTAATTTGGAAAATCTTGCAAAAATAAAAATAATTGTCAGGTGTTAATGAAAGTTTCAGAAGTCTGTTTTTTATTAAAGTCATGGCAGAAATTTTTATTTCTTATATTTATACAGCCCCAACTAATTTTATGAAAACTCTAGAAATTGTCGCGTTCACTTTAGTGATTATATTAGTTAAAAGCACAAGGCTTTGAGGAAAGCAAGTCATGGTTTTATTTTTTTTTTTTTTTTTTTTTGGAAACATATTCACACCTGAAAATCAGCCTTGAATTGTAACATACAAAACTCAATAAAAAATATTTAATTTCAAATGCTTTTAGTTGTTTATGGATATGGACAATATTTCTGAAAGCAAAAAATTTTTAAATTTAAGTTGTTAAAAAAATTATAAAATTAGCTGAAGGCCATATTCACTTTTGTAAATTGTATCCCTTCGTCCACTCAGGAGACCCACAGTAATTAAGAAATGTAATTTTGTGTTCATAAAAGTCGTTAAAATGGCTGTAAGTATGGAAGGTCACAAGCAATAAAACGTCATGTGACTTGAGTGTAACCGTTCTCTGCTGAACGTCCATTTCATTATTGCAAATTCTTTGTGTGACTCACATGTTGAGCATTTTGAATTAGCTTTTTTACTAATTAAAAAAATTTGAACACCATCCTAAAAAGACATTTTCAGTAGCAACATTACTATATTTTTAAAGGTACCATTTATTTCATTTACATATGTCATTGCAATTTCATTTTTGTGAAGTTGTTTTCCAGTTTTCAGTGAGTTGCCTTATTTCAATTTTATGAAATTTAATCTCACTCTCAACAGTCTTATTTTAAATTCTTTATAATATTTTTCATAAAGCATTGTAAAAGTAAAGGTGAAAGCTAAGTACAAAAAAAAATGGAGCATTGAAAGTTTTCCTTAAAAATAACAAGGTAAATAATTTGTTCACTTAAATCTAAATAATTTCACTTCTCTCCTTCTGTAGAATAAATTATCCTCGTGTAAGCTATGAATACGTCAAGAAAATGTCTTTCATCATCTGTCAAGTTAACGCAAAATGTTTTGACCAGATTTGTTTTATTTTCAAATTAATTTTTTTGGTGCAGAAACTAAGTTAAGCTTGTTTCAAAATATTTTAAATAAACAATTTCTAACTTTCTTAAAATAAGTTTTTAAAAAATTATAATTGGTTTTTAAAAGAATTTCAAACTGAGATTTTTTTTTTTTTTTTTTTTTCTGACTCAAAAATAAATTTTTTAGTGGCAGTTTTGGATGTGCTAGGAACGATTTAAAAAGAAAAAAAAAAAGAAAATACCCCCAATATACTTTGATCTTTCCTCTTAATAACAGACATTTAGTTAGGTATATGCACAAGATCGCTAAAAAAAGCGTATAGTCTGATGAAAAAGACGTCAAACTTGACGAAAACAAAATTTTATCGCCAAAATGTCTATGTTACGAGTAAGAGTAAAGAACAAAGTAATTTTTAATTATTTTTTCAAAATTTTCTGTCTTTATTACAACATTCTAACTTTCGATTGAAAAACCTTGTTTCTCGTCATCACCGGAACTCTAGTAAATAACATGGCGAATTTTTTGTGCATTTTTTTCTTATGACACACATTAATTTTGAAAATCTTGAAAAAATAGAAATAATTGTCAGATTTTAATGAAACTTTCAGAAACTATTCAGAAATGATGGAAATTATTATAAATATGTTATTTTTTTTTTTTAAGTCATTATAAAATATATTTTTTATACATATATTACCACCCCATAAATGAATTAAAAAAAACTGTAAAAGTTTATGGACGAAGCAGGGAAGTCATTATATTAATAAAAACACAAGGCTTTGAGGAAAGTAAATCAGGTTTTTTTTTTAAAAATCCAACACGTAAACGCTAAAATCAGCTCTGAATTGTAACATACAAAACCCAATAAAACAAAAAAATATTATTTAATTTTAAATGCTTTTAGTTGCTTTTATTTGTTTTTATCAATATGCATAATATTGTCTGAAGGCAAAAAACTTTTTTCGATGAAAATGAATTTTAAATGAATTAATTGTTATTTAATAAATTATTTTATTATTTTTACATAAAGTTACTAAAAGTTGTTAAATATTCTAAAATTAGCGGTACTGACGAATCCTGTATATAATGCTATTTTTAGGTACCTATATCTGTACAGGTTATAAATAGTACAAGGTTTTTACAATCAACGAAAAAGCAATGAGAATAATCTTACTGTCCTTTAACCTATGTGTAGAAAAAAAAAATCTTAAATCAAATGTATGGAGGCCCGGAAGAAACATGATCCAATAAAAACATCACGTGACTTGATTTGTACGGCGCTGTTACTTTAAAAAATTTATAATAATTTCCATCATTCCTGAAAGTTTCTTTAAAATCTGACAATTATTTCTATTTTTTGCAAGATTTTCAAAATTAATGTGTCATAAGAAAAAAAATGAACAAAAATTTGCCATGTTATTTACTAAAGTTCTGGTGATGACGAGAAACGAGTTTTTTCAATCAAAAGTTAAAACGTTCTAATAAAGACAGAAAATTATTTAAAAATAATGAAAAATTACTTTTGTTCTCTCCCCAATAGTAACATAAACATTTTGGTAATAAAATTCTGATTTCGTCAAGTTTAAAGGCCGTTTTTCATGGTATGACTACTTAAAAATAACGAGGTAAATAAGTTGTTAACGTAAAGATAAATTGTCACTTATGACCTTCCGTACTATAAATTTCCGCACGTAATATGTCAATGCGTGATGAAAAACACGCACTTGTCATTTGTCAATCAACACCGCAGTTCAGACCGGCTCTCTCCCATTTGAAAAAACATGTTTTCATCAGAGAAAATAAGCAATCTTTGTTTCAAAATATACTAAATAAACTTTCTAATTTTTTAAAAATTAGTTAAAAAAAATCATAATTAATTTTTTAATTGAATTTTAAACGACAACATTCACTTTTTTAAACAAACGTTAAAAACAACGGGTGGTTATCGATCTTCTGTTGATTTTTCCGATTCAAAAAAATTGAAGATTTTTAACGAAAATTTTGGACGGGCTAGAAATTATTAAAAAATTTTTAAAAATATTCAAAAAATACTTTGATCATTCCTCTTGATAATAACATTAACATTTATACGATAAAAAATTATTTTAATCAAATTTAAGGCCTTTTTTATTCATGGTATGCTATTTTTTTATCGATCTCATGCATATACCTACATTTAGTTTTGTTTTCGTCACGTTTGGCATCTTTTTTGTCATGCTATACTTTTTTTTTTTTTTTTTTCTAGCGATCTCATGAAGGTACCTGCTGTAATACAATGTATAAAGCTTTTTGTTTGTGAATGTGTACGTTCATTAATAATTTGAGGCTTGCTTGGCATTTGACTATTTTTATATAATAAAACAGTAAGTTTCTGGGTGTAAATTGTTAAACACAGTTGTTGGGAAGTGAATATTTACGCAAAATTGTGTACATCTGTTATATGAAATTTTAGATTTTTTGATTTTTGGTTATTTAAATATTTGTCATGCAAGCTGCACTCTGTGCCCAGTTGATCATAACTGGATTCAATTTTTATGCTTGCTATAGAGAACTTCAGTTTTCTTAATTGTTTCTGCTTTTCTATATTAGAAACCTAAGGATACTGAGACATTACAGTTTTTGCTTATAACCTTTTTGTATTTAGTGATTAATAATGTTCTGTACATTGCCATTAAACTTATGCTTAGGCTTATCCTTGTCAAATCAGTTTAGATGACAAAATGTTGAATTATTAGGAAAAAATTTTTTTTTTTTTTTTTTTACAGAAATCAACCCTTAGAAAATTAGATAAGAATCATAATGACCTCATTGAAGATAAAAGAAAATTTATTAAATTACATTAATTGGTGTGACAAATTTAAAATTGTTTACAGATGAAGTTGTACTTTTACTATTTGATTTAAATTTATGTAATTATAGAAGTATGAATCTCTTTAAAAAAATTGTTTGTGTGAGATGTATATAAATATTAGACCAATCTTAGAAATTAAATTTAATCTGTAGTAATATGAAAAAAAAATTATTTCTGATCACATTTTCTATTGAGCAAGTAACCCAATTTGTTTTTAATACACATTTTCCTGGTATTAAAAATGTAAATTAATTAGCCCATTTTATCTTTCATTTTTCATGTTCTTTTTCAAATAAATTACTCCTGTAACAAATTAGCCTTAAATACAAATTTAATTATATTATAAATTTTCTTAACTAAAGCTAAACTTTAATTGAAAAGTAGAAAATTGTATAGTATCCTAAACTAAAAAATAATTGTTGTGGTAAGTATTATTTTTTTAATTATATACAATTTCTCAATGTTTTAAAGGTTTGTAGATGGATTTCTTTAATAACAAGAATATTAACTAAAAAAAAAAAATTATGTTATCCTTATGACATTTTCTAATTTTAAGAAAGAATAAAGAAATTGATAGTTTTGTAGAGTTAACATTTTAAATACCTTTCTGGAATAATAATAATGTATATAACAAAAGTTAGATCTACCAGTTTTAGTAAACTTAATCTAATTTACTTTTCTTTTACCACTTTTATTTTTCCTGTCAATAAACAATTCCAACTTAACCAGCATTGTCCTGAATGACTGTTTAGTTTCTGAGAAATAAAAATTACTTATAGCAAGTCTTTTGTAGGCTGACATTTTGTGATTAAATCATAGGCATAGAAATCAGGAGAACATTTAATGCCAAGTATATGTTAACTGTTGTTAAATACTTGTTTTGAGACTTGTATTTCTTTTTGAAATAAAAATAGGTATTCAATTGATGTGAACCTTGACAAATCCTGTGTTAACAAAGATGCCTTCAGGGATCCAGCTTTGAAACGCAAGGCCAGACGAGAAGTTAAAGGCAAATTTGAAGAAAGGTAACTCTCTGTTAATATTATTTATAAAATTTCAAAACCATTCATCCAATGTTTCTTTTACATCATACTTTGAACAAGCTAAAAGCAGATGTCTTACTATTATCCAAATATTTTGAAAAAAATGGAATATCAGTATTGCAACCGGTCTTAAATTAATGACATGTTTGTACTTAGACGTTTAAGAGCAGCTTAATGATGAAACTGCTTATTTTTGTTTGATCTGGAGAAATTATTGCAAAGTGATACTACATTTGAATTCCTAACAAAATAAAGGTTATATCTCTGATGGGGATATTTTCTTAATGTCACTTTGGTAATTTTTTGGCTTTATTAAAATACAAGCAACATTTTTTTTAGTATATATAACCAGACAAAATGTTTTCATTTTAATTACTGTATTTTGCAGCATACATGCAATGACTAGAAAAGCTATTTCATTTTTATCTTACAAGATAATAATGCAATAACATTTCTAGTCACTTGAAGTTTGTATATTTTTGGATTTTAAGTTATTTTTCTTTTGTTTCAGATACAAGACTGGCAAGAACAGATGGTTCTTCCAGAAATTGCGCTTCTAGACAATATGGTCAATTAATAAACTATATTAACTCTCTTTTATATGGTCTGTTTTTTTTAGCAAATATTGCTAAAAAAAAATAAAATAATTTAATTTTATATAATATAATATTTTAGATATTGACTTTATTTTTGCATATGTTTTATACAATTTCACTTTTTGATGTTAGCCTTCCTCTCTAATGGGAATATTAATCTTACAGTCAAGAATTGGCAGATGTTCTTTGCATTCTAAGGCAATTTCCATTCAGTGCCATAAGTTTTGAACTGTCTATTAGAATGATTTGCATATTTTGGCATGTTGGGATCCATTTCAGTCAGCAGAGAGGAGTCATTGATTACAGATATGAAGTAATTAGGGATAATATTTAGCAAGACCAAATTGTTTCAAGGTGTACGAAATCATTTCAGTTGTTCAGTATTGGCAGCAGTAGTATCAAAGCTTTAGTGTCTTCTCAGATTCCAATCATCAATTTTTTTGGATTATAGAATTTCACATGACCTATCCAATTCTAGTAGGTAGTTGAAGGACTGAGAATTTTCAGGCTTGAATTTCTCATCACATATTAAATGTTACATTAATTTTCTGTCATAATGTATGATTAGGGTTTTCCCAAAGTTTTTCGATCTTTTGTGTTGCAATTTTTGTTCTCAATACTTTATACATTAAAACCTAGAGGAACAGTTGAAAGAATGGCTGATTGTATATGGATGGAACCAAGTTAAGAGAATAACACTGGAAGATTAGATAGCTGAAAGAATAAGCACACACAGACAGAAAGAATAAGCACACACAACTACTTACTGAGTATACTTAGCATATACAAAATCTATATGGGAACTTTTGATTAAAACAAAAAAAATAAGCTCCACCACCTTGGCACAGACATTAGGTTTAAGACTCAAAAAATACATCACTTGGTTATCCAAGTGGCACATTAAAGCATATTTCCCTGGTAGTTGTGAATTCAATCTCTGGATTTTAGACTGCTGAAAAGTCACACTTTACTTCACTGGAAGAAATACTGCAGAGTGGGGTAGTGGGTACTAGTATGTAAATAGAAAAACATTAACAGTAACCACATTAGATTGACATAGCTAACCAACTTAAAAACGAAATCATTTCTGTATAAAGTAAATTAATTTTATTTTGTGCTTTTTGTACTGAGCTCAAAAACAAAAGGTCCATGCTTTAACTGTAACTAGAAAGTAATGTAACATTCATCTGAAAGATTATAATGAAAGTAGATATAGAAAAGGTACAGAGAATCTATATTATAGAGGGTGGGAAAGTGACAAGATTGATGCCAGGATCAGTAATATTGTTGATTCTTTGAATTTTATCAAGTCTTAAAAAGTATACATCAAGAACACAAGACCATATCTTGTAGCAATATACAAAGAATGGTAGCCTTATAAATATGTAAGACATTCTGAAGAGTAAAATTGTCTAGCACAACAGTGAAACAGTTTTCTTGTCAGCCTGACATGGTATGAGTCCATCCTTCCCAAATTTCTGCAATTTTTTAAAATACCAGTCAAAACTTGATGGCTGTTTCTTGCTTATAAAATGAAAATTTTTTAAGATATTTCAGGAAAAATCGATTTACAGTTACAGATGAACATCAGAATAAATGATAAAAATGATTAGTTTTGTGTGGAATTTATCTGTTAAGACCATTATTTCTGTTGGGAAACTTAGCATTGAAACCTGTTTAGTTTATATTGTGGCAATTAATGTGAGAATTTTATTTATATACAACTTTGATCTTTGTCTCTACATCTACTAGTGAAGCAAGATGATGTTGATCTGCATAGAAATTAGATTTTTAAATATTTTTGTTTTCAGTAAAATGCTTATTTGTTTCTGGATAAATACTTAGATACCAATTTAAAATGTGTTCAAGCAAAATTGTGTTGGCAATCCTGATGCATTTTGTTACATTTGAAGTGAATATACTGTGTAACCGAGGAAGAAAAAGATTGAGTTTGTGGAAAAGGCTTATTTAACATACTTTGGCATTGGTGATCTATTTAGATTGACCCTCTTCTGGTCTGTAATACATAAACTTAAATATGTATAATCATTTTAAATTAACATGTCTGGTGGTGTGTTTTTATCACTAGTGTCTGGGCATTGATGATTGGAAAATAAGTAGTGTTTTCATAGGTGCCATTTAACAGAAGATGCAGTTGTTTGAAACTGAAAAAAAGGGCATGCAAAACTATTAGGTCACTGAAAGATCTGAGCTAATAAGATGCAAATTCCGAAGTAGGAATTGTTCTATCGTATTAATGTGAGTGTAAGTTGCTTTGGCAAATCATTGTAATTGGATACTGGCTTGCTTTTTTTTCTTTTTTTTACGCTAAAATTTCTACTGAAACAAGGATGAATGTTGTGACTTTGAAGATTTAGCCAGCAGGCTTTGAATTCCCAGAAACGGTGTTCAAACCACTCAAAAGATGTTTGCTACTCCTTGACGTGTTTTCAGTGCAAAGAAAATGCAAGGTAATAATGCCACTAAGATGTAACAGGTTACTAAGAGTTTGAAGAGAAAAAAAAACTTGATGAGAGAACAAAAATTAAGACAGTAGATAATGATTGACATTGTATTTAAATTTTTGTAGATTAAAGTTGATAGGGAAACTGGAAGAAAGTTCTACACGTGTGATAGAAGAAACTTAGCCTAGAACTTGTGGTTGCATCTCACCATTTCAACTGATTTAAAATGATACCTTGCTGCCAATCTAGTACTATATTTAAATTTGTAAAATCTAAGTACCATAGAAAAAAGTTCATCAGAAAGATTACCATTTAAAGTATTTATAGAAAAAGCATAGGGAGGCTGTGTTATGACGGTGGGGAAGGGACTGAAGCTGAGATGCCAGGACATTGCAGATTCTTTGGATTTTTATCAAGAATATCTAAATAGCAGGTGCACGAGACCAGATTTGACTCCCATATTCAAGGCAAGGACGAATGGTAGACTTATAAATATCTAAGATAGACAATTCTTCTCACCAGAATCTAACATGACAGGAACCAACTTTCCTGGCAGCAGACCTAGCAATTGGTTCAACATAATCTTTCCACTTTAGAAACCATTTCTTGCTCTAATTAACAGCGTATATCATTTTCTGCCAATTTGACCGAATCAAGCTGATCAGACTTTACTATAAAGGCAGGTGTAAATGTTTGTGCCATCAGGCATAGATACCGAGTTGAGAACTAGGAATAATGTGGGTCCAATGATGGTCCTGGGGGACACCTGCATTAACTTTCATTTCGTGATCAAAAATTAGTTCAGAAATACCATAACCTTTCAACTTGTGAAGACTAATATGCCAAATGCCTTTGAGATATCCAAAGCAACAGCCCAAGCTTTATTGTTATCTAAAGCTTGATACTGTTAACACATAAGCAGCAGCACTATGCAGAGTATCACAATAAAACAATTTGAATGGGCGTATAGCAGAAAAAAAAAAACTAAAAACATCAGAATAGAAGACTAAAGTGGTCAAAAGAAAATCTAACATGGGATGCAAAATAAAGTTAAATTCTGATGTAAGAAGACCAGTGGGATAAAAAAACAGCAAAGTGCACCACAAAAACAGTAAAACTTGGTGAACACGTAATGGTGTGGGTTTGCATCAAAAGCAATAATTGAAGGAAATCGGTAAAAGTTGATAGAAGCCTAAACAGCGAGAACTATATTAGTTCGGTTTAATAGTTTGCCAGATGAAGATGGAGAAACTTTTCAGCATGATGGTGTTCCATGTACATCATGTACAACAAAAAAGGTTTCTTCTGGATGAAGATGTTCAACTTTTGGAAGACTGTCCAGCGTGAGTCCTGATCTCAATATGATTGAATCATTGTGGTAGGAACTGAAGAAACAAGTGCTCTAACAAAAACTGGACAATCTCCAAGAGCTTTGGCATAACTGTCAGGAAGGATGGCAAAAATTACCAATGAGAAAATCTGGACCGTATTCCATTCAATGCTACGTCGAATTCAGGCAATTATTCGAGTCAGAGGCAGTAACACTAATTACTAACTTTATTAACTCCATATTTTCTGTAATAAAATAGATAACTTTTTGCAAAAAGAACAAACAAAAGCTTTTTAACTTAAGAAGAGAAATGAAAGGTGAAACTTTCGATTGTGGTCCAATATTTTTGTATGACCTTTTTTTTTTCAACATTACTGTGCTTAAGATGCTCTATAATCCGTCATCCAGTGAAAATGAAAATGCAGTAACTTGTTCTTTGGCCCTCAAAGATCATAAAATGTACTGAGAGAAGCATACTACTAATTACTTGATTTGTGGGTAACAATAGCAAAAGTAATTAATTTACCAACATGGATCAAAAGTTTTGCACGCCAGTGTACTTGTAAAGAACATTTTCGATTCAATGGAAGAGGAAAGGTTTACGATTTGGGATACATATGGTGTGGCGAGTTATAGTATCATCATGATTGTTATTTCTGTTCTGTTGATATCAAGGAATATAACAATGGAAGCAACAAAACCATTGCGTACCCAGATCTTCAATGTACTCGTCAACCAGTATTACACCGCGACGATCTTACCGTACCAATTTTCACCAAGTTACTTTCTGAAGTAAGTAATCAAGAAATTTCAGATCCAGATTTTGTGCCTTCACAGAATGGCCTGCAGGAGCCAGCGAAATACATGTTGAAGGTCATACAGCGATAGAAGACAATTCAGAAAACGAATCCCTACAACTCTTTAACAAAGATGATTTAAACGATCTGGTGTTACAAGTGCATTTATCTAAAGAGTCTACAGAAGTGCTAACCTCAAGATTAAAAGAAAAAAAACCTCCTCCAAAGAGGTGTCAAAATAACATTCTGTCCCCCAAGAGAAGAAAATCTACTTCCTTTTAAACAGGACAATGTAGTGTATTGTAACATTGAATTTATTTCGCTTCTTAGGTATGTAAATTCAACGTTGTTACAATACACCAAATTGTGCTC